AAGATGGGTTAGGCATCTTAGAAACCAAAGCATAGCTGCCTCAACTGATCAGACATGTTTTAAGAGCTTACTGATGATGCCCGCCCAATATAGTTTTCTGAATTCTGACACTGACATGTTTCAAGAGCTTACTGATGCTGCCCAATATTGTTAGGCATATAATCAGAGTCTGATGGTCCATAGGTACTTCTATGGTCTCATTGTTTGCATCCATAACTAATTTGGAAATGTATAAAAATGGGTGTAGGAAATTTGTTAAGTCACAGAAGAGTTTAATAGAAGGGACTATGGAAAAAAAATGAAACAAACAATTAGTAATTTAGGATCATGTTTCTTGAGTTGGAAGTTGACAAACTACTTGCATAAAATTTTATTAAAGTAGCCTAGGTTAGGATACTTTTATTAAATATTTCTAGGCATTGTCAATATATGAAATGTTAAGATGAAATTTTCTTTATTTTCTTAACTGTTTTCATTTTATGCTTTCGTTTTCTTTTTCTATTGTAAAGAAATATCCTGTTTTTTTTTTCCTTAACTATTTAATTTTCCTTATATTTTTAATTTACGTAAACAATTTTCCAGATAGCCAAGCCATGCCACTCTTGATTCGCATGCTTAGGGATAGTGGTGTTCCTCTAAGTCAGAACCCGCGTTTAAAACCGGGACTCAGGCTCAAACTCGTGAGGGTCCTTGGCTTCAATCACCCAGTCCAACTTGCTAAGTAAAATGATAATGTAAAAATATTTAAAATTATTAAAAAATATAAAAATGTGGAGAATAACAATATCATATTAGAATGTTTTAAGATTGTTTTTATGATTTTTAAGATGATATGAGAACTTTTTTTACTTTTCCCTCTATTGATTTTCCTAACCATATTCAAGGTACAAATCAAATTTTTCAATAACTATCTTTTATATATTTTTTCATGTTCTATAGTCTTTTAACGATTTCTATTACCTTTCTTTTTTTTTTCTTCTTCTTTTCTTTTCTTTTCTTTTTTTTTTTGTTTGTTTTTTATATTTTGCTGATTTTAACTATTTTTAAGAATTTTTTACTTATTGATTTTGGCTTTTTAACATTCTTGTGGATTTTATAACTTGGCGAGTCCAATTAGACTAAGCAGAGTACTATGGCGAGGGACGAGGAAGTAGCCCGAGATGAATAAAAGAACACCGGTTAGGAACATAGGACAGTGTATGGACAGGATTTTATGGCACCAGAATTTGAATTTAAGCAGCAAAAATCTAATTTGAATACCAGGGAAAAATGTCGATCTAAATGCTTTGCACTTCCATGATGCCATGACAAATTCAGGTTCATGTATGATAGATGGGCATTCATCACTAACCAACTAACTCCAGTCTCCTTTCTCACTCCTCTATTCTTCATTTTCTCTCTCAACTTTCCCACTTCTTCACAGTTTTCAGCCCCACAGTACACATTGGACAAAAGTATGAATGTTGCATTGTCTAAAAGGTTGCAACTCTAAGGCAGAGCCCATGGCATACTCTGCCATGTCCACATCCCCTAGAAGATGGCATGCCCCCATATATGTCCTCTATATGGACACACAGGGTTCAACAGGCATGCCATCCATGAACCTCTTCACCTTATCTAGCATCCCAGCCCCACCACACATATCAATCACGCACACATCATGCTCCGTGCATGGCATCATGCCGTGCTCATGGACCATTGATTCGAAGATGTTTGCACCATCGCCTACCATCTGCAAATAGCTATTGGCCATGATAGTGTGGTGTAATTAGCCATGACCCCATGCCTCTTCATGGCATCCCATAGATGCAAGGCTTCTCTGCCATGACCATGTTGAGCATGCCCATGCATCATGGTATTTCATGGGATCAAATCTTGCCCCTCCATTCTCTCAAACACTCTATCCTTTAGAGCCTTACAACTACTATCATGCTAGAAGTTAGCTATCTAACAGAGCCCCTCGCATGATTCCATTGTTATGCCATATCCATGGGTGAAACCTAAGCCTGCATATGCCCTCAAACGCTAGAAACTGTAAAATGGTTCAGTTTCTCACAGATCATTCACATCTCTCTGAAGTCTGAACAACTTCAATGCCTTTTTATTGGAACCAAAGTGAGAGAAGACCTCTATCATCATAGTCCAGGAGACCATGACACAGCGCTCCTCTCTTGCATTGCCTTGAAAACAGTTTTGGCTCAAGGCATCAATAAGAGAATTTTCTACCATTAAATCCAAGCCACATGTCCTCAAGCATTCAAGAGAGCCATAAAGATGCCCTAATTGGGTATAAGACCTCGTATATGCAAATTCTGATATAGTATTAGATCATCTCCGAAGTCCTCTCTCAACTAACCTACCCGTCATTGAATTACATGAGATTGTATATTTTTCAGGCATTTAGTTAAACACCCTAGGACTTCCTTTTACACTCCCACATTTCACATGCATATCAATAAAAGGAGTGCAAGCACTGACATCTAACCTCAACTGTAGTTCAACAATCAACCCATGAAGTGACCTTCCAAATATCAATATTTCGAGTGCAGTACAAGATTTAAGAACATCCCCAAATGTAAATTTGGAACAAAATCAATCACCACTCTCTCTGAAAAAACCCAACAATCAACGATTGCCAAGGCCACATGAAGGCCCAATTCAAACTAACATCGAAGGACTTTCATGAACTGGATGTGTCACTATATTTACCATTCCTACCAACAAGAGCAGTCCCAAAAAGCCATTAGAATCGAACCCAACTTAATCAGGAAACCATGAACCAGTTCACCTGGTCCTCCAAGCTCATGACAGACCTTTAGTCCAATCCTTAAGAGTCTCCAAAAAGACTATCAGAGCTTCATCTCCATGACCCCAATTGACAAATCCTACAAGTGCAGTATTATATATAATAACACAATATCACATCATCAAAATTCATAAAAAAGCTCAATTTGCACTCTCTAATTCCAAATTTTGGAGTAGAAATCAACCATGTTTGTTTAGACGAATGGGTATGAACCAGAAGCCATGACGATCACCTGTGTGTGAATTTGCATGCCTTGATTTGCAGCTTTGAATTTGAACAAGGCATCAAATGGCTTGAGAAGCCAAATTCATATGGTGAAAAGCCATGAACTTGCATCTGGATTAGTAGAATTAAGCAGTTTTTGGGCTGGTTAGAGTGAGAGTAAGCCTAAACGATGGTGAAAAATGAGACCAAATACGGTGCATGAATTTCAACAAAGAAGTATTTGGCATCAACAAGAGGACCACATTTCACAAAAGCATTTAGAAGATGGTTATAACGAGGAGGCTTCTGAGAGGAATCCTGATTTTATCAGAAGGCTATGGATGGTTTTTATAGCAGAAGGCCATGGATGGTAATTACAGCTGGTGAAGACCATAATTTGCAACAATGTAAGATGCTGTTTTCTGATCCAATAGAAGAGACATGTAAATAGAAGACGATGATCCTTTCTAGCTGAGATTTACTCTCACAAAAATTGTGCTCCATAATTTTTCAATCACATCACTCCATCCAAAGAAGGAGCTAACCAAAAGCATCATGAAAAGTGATAGTTCACAGCCTCCTGCACATGTGGCAAATTCATCATCTTGTGCCATACCCAAAAAACACAACAACATGTTTAAAGAAATCAGATATCTGTAAAATTCATCAACCATATCAAGTCATAAAAGACCTATAACAGCTGACATGTCTCCAGGCACATACATGGAGAGAGAGAGAGAGAGAGAGAGAGAGAGAGAGAGAGAGAGAGAGAGAGAGAGAGAGAGAGTAGTAGTAGTACGTAGTTAGTAAGTAAGTAAGTTAACGTAAGTACGTACGTAACGTACGTAAGTTAACGTTAAGTTAACGTTAACGTTAACGTT